TGACATGAAAAGGGGTATTAAGTATGTTAAATAGCATTCAAGGGGTAACTTGTTGTCAGGAATGGATTCACCACTGGTGGGGACTCACCTGCCATGTGGGCTGCAGTACCAGGGCTGGCCAGCGGGTGCTCTCAGCAACCAGAAGCTCACTCCTGCAATCAGCCATCACCTGAGGCTGATTGCAGGAGGTGTATTTCAGGAATGGCCAGACCTGCAGTCAGTGCCTTGGTGTATTGTTTTCCATGAGCCCCTGTACTTGGTATCCTATGTTCCTGCCTATTTGCCAAGTTGCTGACCGTGCTTTGATCCTGACCTCTGCTGACCATCTCCTGTTTAACCCCTGGCTTGCCTGACCATCCTTCTGCCTGATCCTCTGTACCGCGCTGCCCGTGAGTTACTGAACCCAGCTTGTGACCCTGACTTTTCTCTGCCTGCTCCTCCGGTACCTCGCTGCCCGCACGTTGCTGACCTGGCCTGCCTGACTACGCCTGACGCTACCCAGACAATCCATCCATTCATCCATCCCACATGGATCTGTCCCTGTTACCAGGTCTGCCAGCCTCTTCACGTCAGGCTCCTTTCCCCGCACACCTCTGACGACGCTCTTTACCATTGCCGGACGTATTCAGGGGTCGCAACCTGGTCTCAGTCTGCTCCAAGTCCATCCCCACCATCAGGGGCCCTGGTGAATAAGCAGATTGGGACTTAGACCCCGTGCCCTGTACAGTACCTAACGGCCTGCCTGACCATTCCACCTCTCCAGCCCTGACTACGCTTGTGTTCCCACACATTTCTGGTCATACCCGGATCCCTAACACTTGTTTATCTAATTAATGGTAAAATAATGCAGTTAGGAAATATCTGGACAACTTTGATTAGAATTATGACTGCAGCTGTCCAAGGCCAAAATGCATTACCTGTCACCGAGAAGATCAAAGCGGCTACTAAAAGTGACCAATCAAAGTGCTTGTCATTTTACTGAATGGGGAAAATGTGTATATTAGGGAAGGTTCTTTTGATTAAGTTATGACAGGAGAAAGTGGGTCCTCTGAATGTGCCTGATAGTTGCATGAATATTCTAGTACCCTGTCATCTGCCTGGTCTGTACCTCTGTCTTATGGATGGTTTCTGAGCTGATTAAATGAATCTTTCTCTCTGGAAAAGAACCGTTGAACTTGTTGCTGCATGAAAATACATTTCTGGGATAGAGGAGTTTGCCGTCCAAGTGACCAGAAGAGCATATTCGGATTCTGTAACAGAGGTCGGTGTTGGCAACAGTCCTGTGAGGTGGAACCAGAAGTTGTGCTGTTACTCAGAAGTCTGGTGGTGACTTTACTGTAGGAGACTAATTCACAAATTGAACCCCGGAATAATTATCTGGAGGCTAGAAAACCGAACAAAAGACTGTGCTGTGCACTAGATGAATCCTATGAGAATCCAAGAAGCCTATGGGGTGATAGAAAACATGAACTGGACACCGAGGCAGTAACTCCAAGACTAAGCCCATGGGCGTATTTGCCGTGAAGCAAACAAGGCATTTGCCTAGGGCGGCACTTTTCAGGGGGGCGTGCCGCACCTCGGCAAGCGATGTCACTACAGCAGAGGAATCCAGTGAGGAGTGGGAGTATCAGGCCTCCCCTGGACATTGCCGTCCTCCGGGATCATCTCTCAGTCCTGGTTTCTCAATGCCATCCACTGCGGAGAGCTCCTCGAGCTCCAACCCTCAGAGCACCCTACAGCCTGGCTGGGTGCACTGCATACTGGAAGTTGTAGTCTTTCCCCCGCCTCCGACCTGCCGCCTCCACAGGAGCGAACTACAATCCCAGCAGGGTGTGCGGGGGAAGGACTACAACTCCCAGCATCCAGTGCACCCGGCCAGGCTGTAGGCTGCTCTGAGGGTCGAAGCTCTCCAGAGTGGATGGCGGTGAGGAGCCAGGGCTGAGTGATGATCCCGGAGGATGGCAGTGTCCAGCTCACACCACTAACTGACACATTCTCGCTGCTCATACCACTAACGACACCTTCTAGCCGCTCATACCACTAACGACACCTTCTAGCCGCTCATACCACTAACGACACCTTCTAGCCGCTCATACCACTAACGACACCTTCTAGCCGCTCATACCACTAACGACACCTTCTAGCCGCTCATACCACTAACGACACCTTCTAGCCGCTCATACCACTAACGACACCTTCTAACCACTCATACCACTGACACCTTCTCGCCGCTCATTCCACTAAATGACACCTAGCTGATCATACCACTAACTGATACCATCTAGCCGATCATACCACTAATGACACCTCACCACTCATAACACTAATGACACCTTCTCGCCACTCATACCACTAACTGACACCTTATAGCCACTCATACCGCTAATGACACCTTTTCCCACTCATACCACTAACTGACACCTTCTAGTCGTTCATACCACTAACTGACACCTTCTAGCCATTCATACCACTAACTGACACCTTCTTGCCACTCATACCATTAATGACACCTTCTCGCCGCTCATACCACTAATGACACCTTCTCGCCACTTATGCCACTAATGACTCGTCTGGACTACAGGAGCAAACTACAATCCCAGCAGGGTGTGCAGGGGAAAGACTACAACTCCCAGCATCCAGTGCGCCTGGCCAGGCTGTAGGCTGCTCTGAGGGTCGGAGCTCTCCAGAGTGGATGGCGGTGAGGAGCCAGGGCTGAGTGATGATCCCGGAGGATGGCAGTGTCCAGCGGAGGCAGGGATCTCTGTCACAGAGAGGGAAGGGAAATGCGGCTGTGAGGAGGATACATACCGGCAGTACATGGCTCCCCCCTTGGTCTCCGCCCCTCCACCAGGCCTGGTGAGTGATCTCCATCCTGCTACTTTGTATAACATGTATACTATTGGAGGGGGGGCGGAGAGCTGACAGACTGACCAGAGAGAGACTGCCAGGTGACTGACTCATACCACTAACTGACACCTTCACGCCGTTCATACCACTAACTGACACCTCGCCGTTCATACCACTAACTGACACCTTCTTGCCGCTTACACCACTAACTGACACCTTCTCGCCGCTCATACTATTAACGACACCTTCTCACCGCTCATACCACTGACACCTTCTAGCCGCTCATACCACTGACACCTTCTTGCCGCTCATACCACTGAAACCTTCTTGCCGCTCATACCACTAAATGACACCTAGCTGATCATACCACGGACACCTCGCCGCTCATACCACTAACGACACCTTCTCGCCGCTCACACCACTAACTGACACCTTCTCGCCGCTAACACCACTAACTGACACCTTCTAGCCACTCATACCACTAACTGACACCTTCTCGCCGCTAACACCACTAACTGACACCTTCTAGCCACCCATACCACTAATAACACCTTCTCGCCGCTCATACCACTAACTGACACCTTCTCGCCACTTATGCCACTAATGACTCGTCTGGACTACTGCAACTCCCTTCTCACTGGCCTACCTCATCACAGACTATCCCCGCTTCAGTCTATCCTGAACTCAGCGGCCAGACTCATCCACCTTACCAACCGCTCCGTTTCTGCCACCCCCCTCTGTCATTCCCTCCACTGGCTCCAGATTGCCCAACGCATTAAATTCAAACTACTAACACAGACATACAAAGCCATTCATAACGCTGCCCCAAACTACCTCACCGACCTGATACCCAAATACCACCCAACCCGTACTCTTCGCTCCTCACAAGACCTCCTACTTTCTAGCTCCCTGGTCTCCACCTCCCACGCCCAACTGCAGGACTTCTCCAGGACTTCCCCCATCCTCTGGAACTCACTACCCCAATCCATCAGACTGTCACCTACCCTCCTCACCTTTAGGCGCACCCTGAAAACCCATCTCTTCAGGGAACCCTACCCTGCCCTCACCTAACAGCTGATCTCCTCCACTCATCCTTCCACTCCATCCCCCACAGCCACTTCCTCCTGTACCACTATCCCCTCCCTCCTAGATTGTAAGCTTGAAAGAGCAGGGCCCTTGACCCCCTCGTGTTTTGTTTTGTTACTGTATTGTCTCATGTTCTGTCCCCCACTATAATGTACAGCACTGAGCAAACCTTTTAGCGCTATATAAATACTGTATAATAATAATAATAATAATAACTAGAAAATCTACAATTTCTGGGGAAATTGTGTGAAGTGTTCTTGCGTGCAGAAGTAGTCTACAACTGGAGTGGGCGGAGTAGCCTTGGTCACTCTGCTGGCTGCTGACACAGCTGGGTTGCTATGGCAACTCACTCTAGTGCAAGCTGAGAGGAACTTTTATAAACACACTACTCCAACTTGCTCAATTCACTGGCGGTTGCCATCTTCAAATGGTTGTAGTTTTAAAAGTATAAACTCTCCTACAGCGAAGAGCTTTATATTGTTAGAATCACAAGACCCAGACCTACATTTTGACATAGTATGTCTCTGAAATATTAAAAATGAAGGCACAGTCGCAGTTTAAAAATGTCCTTTATAAGATTTGTGTAGGTGGGCTTGAAAATTGACACCTTCTCACCACTCATACCACTAATGACACCTTCTAGTGGTGGTGCTCATATCACCAATGACACCTTCACAGAAATATGTGGCCGACCACTAAGTTCCACCCAGCAAATGTTGGTGCACTAGAGACAGTGGGGGTGCACTGGGGGGGGGGGGGCAATTTTTGTGTTGCCTAGGGCAGCACAAAACATAAATACACCACTGACTAAGCCTCACATACGGTGAGTATCATTTTTCCTATGTTTTCATATTACTTATCTAGTCAAAATGCATGCTAAGTGTGAAGCTGATGAAGTTAACAGATGGGTGTTTTGTTTTTTGAATTGTACTGTAGATTGTTTTTACTTTTGTTGCAGTATAAGAGTATTTTTGTTTGTATCTGGGTGTTAACCGCTTCCCGACTACCCTATAGCAGAAATACTGCTACAGGGCGGCACGGGTGCGCAAAATAACACGTATATATACATGATTTTGCATTTCCGGGTAGGGGGCGTGTGCGACCCGCGCCCTATCCACGCCGTCATTTACGGCCGCGGCTGACAATCACTAGGCCCCAGTCGGTAATTACTTGCCTGAGCAATGTGATTTCCAATGATAACCGATGGGGAGGAGGACTGTTTTGTTTACTAACAGTTCTCCCTGTCAGCGCGGGCACACTGCTCTGTGAAACACACACTACCCCCTAGTAAAATACCCTGCACACAGTTAACCCTTTGATCACCCCTCATGATAACCCCTTCCTGCCCAGTGCCATTAGTACAATGTCAGTGCTTTTTTCTTAGCACTGGTCACTGTATTGGTGTCACTGGGGATGTCAGCGATACCAAGTCAGTTCCCCCCAGTGTCAGAATGTCCGCCGCAGTCCTGCAATAAGTCGCTGATCACCGCCATTACTAGTAAAAATAAAACATTTTTAAAAATCCCAGTATACAGTATATATGGCCATTTGTAAACACTATAACTTTCATGTAAACCAATTAATTTATATGTATTGGGATTTTTTTTAGCAAAGACATGTCGCAGAATACATTTTGGCCTAAATTTTTGACGAAATTTGATTTTTTTTACTGGACATGTTTAATAGCAAAAAGTCCAAAATTTTGTTATTTTCACAAAATTGTCTGTATATAAACGCGATCCTGCATTCCGGGGTAGGGGGCACGCGCGAGGTGCATGACCGCCGTACCCGTGGCACCGATCGCGGTCGCGGGTGTCAATCACCGGGTCCCGACTGGTTATTACCCATCGGAGCCCGGTGATTGCCGGCAAACACAGACGCGGAGGAAGGCTGCATTGTTTTCAATGGAGCTCGTCCTCCCCTGTCAGCTTCAGCACACTGTTCCTGGATTGCTGATCACAGCCTTTCAGGACAGTATGTAACAGAGAGGTGCACACCCCCGCCCCCTAGTGAAACACTCCCCTCACACATTTAACCCTTTTATTGCCTACCAATGTTAACCCCTTCCTCCCCAGTGCCTTTAGTACAATGTCAGGTTTTTTTTTTTTGCACTGATCACTGTATTGGTGTCACTGGGGATGTCAGTGACCCCAAGTCCCCCCAGTATCAGAATGTCCGCCGCAGTCCTGCCATAAGTCGCTGATTGCTGCCATAAGTTGATGATTGCCGCCATAAGTCGTTGATCGCCACTATTAGTATAGATAAATAAAAATTCCAGTATCTATCCCACCATTTGTAAACGCTATAACTTTCACGTAAACCAATTGATTTACACGTATTGGTATTTTTTTTAGCAAAGACGTCGCAGTATACATTTTGGCCGAAATTTATGACACAATTCATGGGGAAAAATTATGTAAATTTTATTTTGGGGCAGCGTTGCATGACTGCGCAATTGTCAGTTAAAGTATCGCAGTGCCGTAACATAAACCACTTATGTAACTGCTTCCTGACCACCCTATAGAAGAAATACTGCTACAGGGCGGCACAGGTGCGCAAAATCACATATATATACTTGATTCGCGCTTCCGCGGTTTTCACGCCCCTCCCAGATTGCCCGTCAGTACACCAGTAATCACATTTAACCCCTCGATTGCCAGGAAGACTCTCATACACAATAAACCTCCATTGCTAGTATAGTGTCTGAACGGATCAATATCTTTGATCAGATCAGCACTATTTATTATATTATTATTATACAGTATTTATATAGCGCCAAAGGGTTTGCTAAGCACTATACCAGCGTTCACATTAGTATAGCGTCCCCAAAAACGCAGCGTTAGCGGGATCAGCCCCGGCACCTGCCAGCCCCTGCGTTAGTCCCTACGCTTACGCCCCCCCCCTTCTCCCCCAGCAAGTGCAGTGTCAGTAGGTCACTGTCACTTGATACATTGCACACAAAACAGCAGTGTTGGCAGAATCAGGCCTGATCTCTGTTCGCACTTGTTGGTAAATTTTGATGACTCTCATATGCAGCAGAGTGCCAGTACTAGTGCCGTGCTACCTTTTGGTGAACTGGCGAGCACCAGCGGTCTAGTACATCCTGGTCTTTCACATACCTCTTAGATTGTAAGCTCCCAGGATCAGGCCCTCCTAACCCTCTTGTATTGAACTGTATTGTTCTGTATTGTCTCCCGTTATATTGTAAAGTGCTTAGCAAACTGTTGATGCCATATATTCTGTATTATTATTAATATTATTATTATTATTATTATACCAGCACTGCAGTATCACATGGCGAAGTGGCGAGTCCCATAAGTGCAGTACAAGCTGGTGCGGTGGTGAGCACAAGTATTGTCCCGACACCACCAAGAATTCGCACACAGGCCCGTAGAGCCGCTAGTATCCTTCTGGATGTGCTTGTAAATCCCGATTTGCAGCCCACAAATTTTGCATCACCTGTACTCCCCCATTCACTGCCCAACCCGGAATTCAGGTGGAAATAGCAAATTAAATACTCCCCTTGATTTTTTGGAGCTGTTTTTCATGAAAGATCTGTATGCATTGATTGTGGATAAAAGCATTTTACATGCACAACAATGTATCACAGCCAACCCAAATTCAAACCTTGCCAGACCATTCGCATGGAAACTCATTACAGTTTCCGAATTGATATTTTTTTGGGGCCTAACCCTCAACATGGGCATTACTAAAAAAAATGAATTCCGGTTGTATTGGTCCACAGACCAGACTCATCATATGCCCGTGTTCTCTGCTGCCATGGCCAGGCATAGATATGAGAGTATAATGTGTTTTATGCATTTCAACGACAACACACTCTGTCGTCCTCGGGGTGACCCTGAATTTGACCGGCTCCAAAAAATTCAGCCCCTCGCAAATCACGTTAACCAAAAATTAGCAGATCTCTATACTCCCCAGCAAAAAAATCTGCATTGATGAGTCCCTTGTTAATTTTTCTATTCGCCTTGCATTCAAACAATTTCTCCCCAGCAAGCGTGCCAGATATGGGGTCAAGATGTAGAAGACCTGTGAGAAGGCAACAGACTATACTTATAAGTTTCGGATTTACGAGGAAAAAGATAGTAACGTGGAGCCCCCCGGATGCCCAGACTACATGGGGAGTAGTAGCAAGACAGTTTGGGACTTGGTGTCATCCGTTTTCTATATGGGGTACCACTTACACGTGGACAATTTTTATTCAAGCGTGCCACTATTTAGACATTTGTACAATCTTGGAACTGGTGCATGTGGCACCATGTAACCTAATGTGTGCCCACCATTAGAAGTGGGTGGATGCAGGGCAGTATATTTTAATGGTGTGCATACCACACTTTTTTTTTTTGGCAGAGATTTCTTCTCTTTTTTTTTCATTCAGTCCACAGGCTGCATAAAAAAAAAAAACGTAGCATATATACCCAACAATGACCAGCGACGTACTGTTACATCACTGGACTTTGAATGGTTATACCACGATGATGCCTACAGCTACAGACATCATCCTGGTATAGTTTTTTTTCAGCTGGCGATCGGCTTTCATGTAAAAGCAATCCTAGTTGCTAATTAGCTGCAGTATTACTTTTTACCAGCTGCGGGAGACAATACCCCCATCCCCCACGGCCTTCCAGGACAGTCCCGAGCAATCGGGGGAACCTGAGAATGCAGCCGGTGTTTATGCCAGCTGACCATAGAGCTGATTGGAGCCGGAATGGTGCCAATCATCTCTAAAGCCTAAGAAATCAGAAGCTACGAGCACCTGCACCCCCAAAACGACCCTTCTTTGGAAAGTAGACACCCCAAACTATTTGCTGAGAGGCATGTTGAATCAATAGAAGAATTAATTTTTTTACCACTTTTTTGGAAAATGACAAAAAATTTTACACAATTGTCACTTAAATGATTTATTGCTCACACATGCCATGGGTATATGTGGAATTACTCCCCAAAATACATTCTGCTACGTCTCCCGAGTATGGGGGTACCACATGTGAGAGATGTTTTGCAAGTCTAGCCAAGTACAGGACCCCAAAATCCAATAAGCACCTTCAGGCTTTTAAAGGGCTTTATTTCTTCATTACACTTCCTGCCTACCTATCACAGTTTTGGAGGCCCTGAAATGCCAGGATAGCACCAAACCCCCCTCGAAATGACCACTTTTTGGAAAGTAGACACCACAAGGAATTTGATAAGAAGCATGGTGAGTATTTTGCAGATCTCGTTTGTTGCCACAAGTTTTTGGAAAATGAAGAAAAAAACCAAACATTTTTCTTTTCTTTTTTTTTATATTTCAAAACCTTGTGAGAAAAAATGAGATCTGCAAAATAATCATGTCTCTTTTTACTTTTTTTGAGGTGTCTACTTTCCAAAAAGGGGTCATTTGGGGGGGGTTTGGTGCTATCCTGGCATTTCAGGGCCTTCGAAACTGTGATAGGTAGTGAAGAAGTGAAATGAGGAAGTGACACACCTTCAGGCTTTCAAAGTGGTCATTGGATTTCAGGCTCCAGTATATGGCTAGGCTCCCAAAAAGTCTCACACATGTGGTATCTCCATACTCGGTAGAAGTAGCAGTATGTATTTTAGGGTGTAATTCCACATATATCCATGGCTTGTGCAAGAAATATATAATTTAAATGACAACTTTGTGTAAAAAAAAAAAATAAATGTTTTTGTCAATTTCCAGAAACTTCTGGAAAAAAAATAAATCTTCCATGGACTCAATATGCCCCTCAGCAGATAGCTTAGGATGTCTACTTTCCGAAAAAGGATCATTTGGGGGTGTTTGTACTATCCTGGTATTTTAGCACCTCAAGAAATGTGATGAGAAGTCAGAAAGGAAAAGCTGTGTAAATTCCATTATCTATACCATAGTTTGTAGATGCTATAACTTTCACACAAAGCAAGCAAAAAATACACTTATTTTTAACCAAAAACATGTAGCAGAATACATTTTGGCCTAAATTTATGTCAAAATTTTAGTTTTGTTGGATATTTTTTTATGAGAGAAATGAGAAAATATTGTTTTTTTTTTTAAAAAAAAAACATTTTCTCAAAGCTTTTTTTTTTTGTTTAGAGCGCCAAAAATAAAAAGCACACAGGTGATCAAATACCACCAAAAGAAAGCTCTAGTTGTGTGAAAAAAGGGACATAAATTTAATTTATTTACCTTGTTGCATGACCTTGCAATTGTCAGTTAAACTAGTGCAGCATTGTATAGCAAAAAATGGCATAAATTACAGAATCAATATACACTTATTGGGATTTTTTTACTAAAAAAGTGTAGCAGAATACATTTTGGTCTAAATGTATAACTAACTTTTTTTTTATAACGTTTTTGTTTATAGCGCGAAAAATAAAAAGTGCACAGGTTATCAAAAGCACCAAAAGAAAGCTCTATTTGTGTGAAAAAAAGGACGTAAATTTCATTTGTGTACAGCATTGCATGACCGCATAATCAGTTGAATTATTTCAGCGCCGAGTAGCAAAAAGAGGCCTGGTCATTAATGGGGTAAATCCTCTAGAGGGCAAGTGGTTAAGAGGATTGTAGAAAGAATAGCTAGCTACACATTAAACATGACCTATTTATTGGTACATGTGGTGCAATAGGGGGCTTTTGGTTTGTTAGTTTGGACATACTTGCATATGTGCACTCTAACAAGCTAGATTTGGGCATATTATGTAGCTCGCAAAATATAAGTGTTAGTGGTGCTGGTATATTGAACATGAAATAACCCCCCCAAAAATACATAGTCAAAACATTTATTGATCAAATATAAATTCCCCTTATTTGGACAGCAGCAACAAGTAGGTACTTGGTTGGGGAAAAAAAAAGAAAGCAGGATTGATGTTGCTAAAATAGAACAGTCCTGCTCATAAGAGCTTACAATCTAAAGATTATACTTCTAATTAACTGTGCTTTCACAGGTTACAGCAGGAAACAAACGGTTAATATCAATCAAGCAACATTTTCAGGGCCATAAAATTAACACACACCATCACTTAGTAGGATTATCTATCTGCAAAACAGGCTGCAGATCAAAATATCAATATAAAAATACATAAAGTACCAAAATAACAAACGACTCCCACCTCCCCAAATCCCCCACACATACATTTCTCATCAGGTTTGTCCTAAAACTGCATTTCAGTTTAAATAAGCAAACTATAGCCAAGTGCAGAT